AATAATCTTCTTGGCAACTGCTGGTTGTGAGGACAGTATAAAATTACCAGCAAATGCACACCCAAGACAGTTGGAGAAAATGAAGTTATAAGTCAACTAATGGTGAAAAAACATAGACCAGAAAAAAACAAAACAAAACTAGTGAATGCAGAGATAGCTAAGTTCATGAATATTTCTCAGAAAGTGAATGAACCAGTTACTGAAGAGGGTCTTTGTTTAAAACATGCTGCTAAATATTCAGAATTTCAACAACTGGTATCAGAAAATTAGTCAATCGAAGAGGATATGAACCAAATGAAATTGGTAAATAGCTCATAAAATTAGGGGCATTGGCAAAATCGAAATTGTTTAGTAAAAAGAATTAACTAGAAAATTTAGCAGAAAAAATAACTTACGAATCTGTTAGAGGAAACTGACACATATGTGATAAAGAAAAAAGATAAAATAATAAAGTTTATCTTTTGTGGATATCAAAGGGAAAAACAAAAATGATATGCATATGAAAAACAATGTGAAAAGCATTTCAAAATGAATCATTTTAAACGTGTGTGTAAATCCCTCAAAAAAAGACGTAGAGACGGTTCAACAAAATGAAGAGGAAATAATTACGGGCGTTTGTTCATTGAAAAGAAAAAAATGAAAAAGCGTCATTGAAAGTTCGAATCAATAATTTTTTTATTGGACATGCAACTAGATATTGGAAGTGATGTGTCGTTGTTAGCCAGATATTTCTGGAAGAAATTAGGAAAACCAATATTAAAGACAAGCCATATCCATTCGAATCAGTTCGACGGTTCTGTGATAAAAAACGTTAGACTATTTTAAAACCTACGTGGAACTGAAAAAAAAGTTTGACGTATTACCAATTATTGTGGCAAACATTCATGGTCTAATGAGAAATGATGTATTGAACATAAATTCAACAAAATTAGTAAACAAAGACAAGGCAGAAAAAAAACTGAAAAATAAACAATGAAGCAGAGTTAAGACTACAGGAAAATGTCTTCCCATCATATTTTGAAACAAGAAAACTTCTAGTTCATCTACTACTAATAGTTGTGGAAAAACTAAAAACAATTGCTTGAACGAGTTCCGCCAAGAGAGAGCGAATGCCCCCCATTAGTAATTTCAAGGAAGAAAGATGAGGATCTGCGCATATGTGGTGACTACAAAATAAGTGTAAAACTCATATTCTATCCTCAATGTAGAATGGACTTTAAACTCCCTTGGAGATATGAAAACATTGTCTAAGAATGATCCAATGTCGGCATAGCATCAAATACCCGTTGACTAAAACTTGAAAGAAGTCACTACAATAAACACGCTAATAAGCTGATGCGATTTTTCAAAGGGCTATAGAGAAAATTAAAAAGAATACAATATTCTACCAGGATAACATTTGTGTTGGTGCTATTAACGACGAAGAATTAAAACGGAAAAAAAAACCCCGTATTGTTTTGAATAAGTTAAAAAAAATGGTGGTTAACACTTAGCGAAAGAAAATGCGCGCAGAAAGCTAAAAATATATAATTTTGGGAATATTCCTTATCTAACAAAGGCGTATCATCTGACCAATCATTAACTGAGAAAATATCAGAATTTGAAGTAACCAAGAACAAAAAAAAAGTAATCTTTCTTTGGACTTTCTATAGACGATAATCCAAATTGACAGAACATTTTGCTAGTTTAAGAAACAAAAAATGTAGAATTTATTTGGACAAAAGACCAACAAGTGGCATTTTAAAATTTCAAAAGCTGTTCTGGCAAAGAAGCCAGTAGCAAAAATATTCCACCCTGGAAAGAAAATAATAGTAACAACTGACGCAAGTAAACACTGAATTTCGTGAATATTAGCTCAGTATTGTCACCCTATTATGTATCTCTAGAAGAATTTGTCAAAAGCCGAACTGAACTACTCAAATATTCAGAAAGAAGCGTTAGACATAATATGGATGACAAATAGAGCTTATCAGTTTCTGACCGGAAATAAATTCCGACCATAAACCTTTAGAATTCATATTTATTCCTAGGAAGGAACTTCCTAAGGTAACGTCTTCTAGAATTCTAAGATGGGCCTTAATGTTAATGGCGTTTGACTTTGACATTGAGTACATAAAAGGCAATACTATTCTGTATGTAGACCCTTTGTTGAGATTGAGGTTAATTACTTTTGAAAGTGTCAAAGAGGAGGAAAAATTAGAAGATACTTTCTTACACTGGGTCGAATAGACAAATTAGTTGAGGATAAAAAAGCGAGATTTCATATTGAACAGTATTTTGTTCAGGATTAAAAAAAAAATAAAACGAACAATTCCTCACAGACAGAAAGGTGTTTTAGAGAGGTTAAACACTAGTTAACCGTAGAAAAGGGAGTAATTTGTAATGGAAACGTAGTGGTTCCGCCAACAACGCAAAGGAACTAAATTATAAAAAACATACATTACGATACTCATTGTGGAATAACATATACACAAAGGAGATTAAGTCTAACTGCATGGTGGCCAGGCTATTCTACAGATGTGGAAGAATACATAAAAAGGTGTAAAATGGGCAATGAAAGAATAGGCATACATACAAAAACACTTATATGACCTAAAGAGTCCCAAACTTGGGACAGAGAATACATGGATCATGCCCATGATATTGGAGTGGGATTATTACTAATGTTGTTAGATTCGTATTCAGGCTGGCCAGAAGTAATACAGGTTTCCAACATAAAAAGTTCGGCCATGAAACAAGAGTTAAGGATTATATTTTTAAGAAATGGAATTCCAAAAACGCTAGAATCTAACAACGCCTCAGAGTTCTGTGACGAGGAACTATGCCAGTGGTTGGACAAAATTGGATGCAAATTATACAATCTCCCCTGTACCATTCGCAATCAAATAGATTAGCAGAAAGGATGGTGCAAACTATAAAAATACGGATTGAAATATGTGTACAAAGAAAAGAAAAGATAGAAACATTTCTTCCTAGACTGTTTGTAAGTTATAGGAAAACACCACATGTAGGAAGATCGAAAAACCCGTCCACCTTGATGGGTAGATAAATTATAGCCCCATTGACCATGTTCTATGCTACCAACGAAAAGCTATTGTATAAAAGCAATAGTGAATCTAATCTACAAAAGACAAGATTCATAATGAAAATTGGACAGAACACTATGATAAAAGAAAAAAATGGAAAATGGGATGCTAACGCATGCAGACCAAATTAGATTGCAACACGATAGCAATGAAGAAATGTATGGTGACCCTGAAAGTAGTGAAGGTGACAGCGTCAAGATAAGATGGACTAGACACTAAGATCGTAAGTAATATAGACTCTGAAGATTAATAGTTGTTGGAGGAACCGTCCTATGAAGAAAGGAAAACATTACGATCTTGCATATCTAGGCAATCACTTAGCGAAATAGAGGATGATAGTGAGGAGACAAAAGTTCACAGAAGTACCAGAGAAAATAAGGGAATAAAACCTCTCCGGTACAGTGGGATGATATATATATATATATATATATATATGAAGTCACTAAGACTATAAATAGCTACGACTATTACCCATGAGGCACCTGAGTGCCTACTACTTCGGGTGAATCAGTGAGACTACATTAGATACATACATATATATATATATATATATATATATATATATATATATATATATATATATATATGTGTGTGTGTGTGTGTGTGTGTGTGTGTTCTTATATATGATCCGTGTGTGTTTCATTGAACAAGAATATTTTTCTTTTATGCGGACATAGATTATCCTCAAGGATTATCTTCCAGGATTATCCTCAAGGATTATAAGCGGGATGTAAGTACTATTGTAGATGGTATAAAATTCCTGAAAGTAGATATATTCTTATTTTTCAAATATAGATAATATGCTGTGGGCGTGACAGAAGTCATTTGGAAGCATACAAGAAGAAATTAATTAAAACAAAAAAAGTAAACAAAATTACCTTGCCTTCTTGTTTAATGAAACATGTATTAAATAGGAGTTACTGCCAGAATACACATTTTTTTCTACATTTTCAGTAAAGTTCATTGAACATTTTTGTTTTTTTACTGTCATTCGTATTTTTAGCCTTTTCCCTTCCCGCACCAAAGAACTATCTTTATATTCTCTCTCAACCTTTTGCTATAAATGTCACAATCATTTTTTTTTAATTTCAAGATTATTTTTGGTTTTTACTGTTTCTTTTCAAAATTTGCAAACGTGTTTTGCAATGCGGTTAAACTCAAGACTTGAATGAAGCCTTCTAATACTCACCGACTTTGTTCTGTCGTCGCCTCGCGGTACAAGACGAAAGAAAATTTATATAAAAAAAAGCAACTAAAAAGAGGAAGAAAAGACTTGAAAAGTGTCACGTGATGTGTCATGTAGTTATTCCTATCTTTCGGGATTTAAATACACTAACGATTTAAGAAAGGATTAAGTACATATATTCACTGTGAATATTTCTTAACGACTATCACCAGGCAGTCTTGAATACAGAATTCTTTATGGCACTACGCCGTCCAGATATTAACTTAACCATGTTTACAGTGGAGTACGGGTACTTGTTCGTCCAGAGATTGAGATAGACTGGTGTGCAAGACCGTGGAGCAGTTTCCTTCCGGTATTATTAGACAATATTCCAACCCATTTACAATGATAAACAAAATAGGTGAAATGGGAATGCGTAAGAATGGCACATGAAAGCATAGCGAACTACAAACTTATCAGTCTTCATTTTATCTCATCTGGCCTTGTGCCAAACTAAGGAATGTACGAAAAATGCTGAAAAGTTCTCAGTCCGACATACTTCACAAAATCTGACCAAATACCAAAATTTATCCGTCGATACGAGTATTTATCAGCACCCTATCTCGTTTTTTTCTTTCTTTCTTTCTTTCTTTTTCTTTCCTTTTTTCTTTTTTCATTTCTTTTTGTCTTTCTTCCTTTCTTTTTTCTTTCTTTCTTACTTTCATTTCTTTGATTTTTGCTGTAAATTC